GGTGACAGAGCACTGGAACAGGCTGCCCAGGGAGGTTGTGGAGTCTCCCTCTCTGGAGATATTCAAGACCCGCCTGGACAAGGTCCTGTGCAGCCTGCTGTAGGTGACCCTGCTTCAGCAGGGGGCTGGACTAGATGACCCACAGAGGTCCCTTCCAACCCCGAACATTCTGTGATTCTGTAATGACAGTTCAGATGCTTAATGCTTTAACCCTCTGGAAAATTCGGCTTTTGTATATTGCCTGCCACTTGCATAACCCAGAACCATTACTAGAGTGCAGGAATCGCTGGTTTTCTAAGGGACTATTTGCCCAGGGATGAAAACAGATAACGTCAACTGGTTTGAGCTGTGAAATTACCACCTGTATGTTGTAGCTCATCAGTCTTTGAGGGAGGGCTCTCACTGGATGAAAGGGGAAGAGGGTTGCTGCTGCTCAGTCCTTGCCAGAAAGGGAAACAGTTTGGTATATGCAAGACAGATTCCTACTGTCAGCAAATTCCTAGCTCTCCTGGGTCAACCACCCTGTGCCCCGTCAGTCAAAAGGTAGGAGGGGGTTGTCCGGCCCCACAGAATTAAGAATCACTGTTTGCACTCCTGCAGCCTAACTGCTGTCCACTGTCGGAATAGAGATTAATCCTATCCCAAGGGCTTAGCAGAGCTCCTGTAGCCGCCCTTTTCACATGCTTTCAGGAGGACATTATGCGTCACTCGTAGCTGCTGTTCTCCTTTGTTCGGCTATTCTCTCAGGATTTATATGGTGTGTAGAAGTTTTGTGTCACATCACAACGTGTTTATGTGCAGGTCAGGAAATTCATCAGCCAACTGTTTGAACAATTAGAACGATTTTGGCCAGCCTCGCTTCGCTTTGATTCTAGGTTTGGGTTTGTTGTGACTCATCTAGCTCAAGTCACTCTCAACGCCATTGAGAAGCTCTCTGAAGAGGGGAAACACAGCTGGGCTTACCAAAGAGCTGACAAATATTAGCCTCATGCTGTACAAAAGGTTGCTGTTTGTTACCACCTAGTGAAAGCATCTTCTCTAATGATCAACTTTGCCTTCATCCAGGGAGCTGTTCTGCTCCTTCACATGCCCCTTAATCCCCTCACTTCAAGCAACCCAGTTAGTCAATTTAGGCTGGAGGACAGAAGACGCCTTGTCTGAATCTGGCTTAATCCGTGTGCAATTTGGGTCACACGGCCTTTATCAACAAGTGCTTGGTTGTTGTCAAAATCAGCACAAAGCAGAGCAGGAGGGCAGGCTCTCTGCTGGGCCTGGGCTTTGCCCAAATTGCTGATGCCTACGGCGCTGCTGAGGCCAGAGCTAAGGGTGCCTGGTGCGAGGGCAAGCGCTGAGCTCCCGCTCCATCACATCCCGCACATCCCGGAGCTCTGGATCCAGCCAGATGCTCACTGCAGCCTGGCTGTGTTTCTGCTCAAGTCCCTGGGAAAAATGCTTTTCTACATTCGTAAGAAAACGGGGCCCCAGACTTTCGCCAACAGTGCCCACTGATGGGACAAGGGGCAATGGGCACAAATTGATAAATGTTCCCACCTGAACACAAGACAACACTTGTGGTCAACCACTGGCACAGCTTGCCCAGGGATATTGCGGAGTCTCCATCTGTGGATATGCTCAAAACCAAACGGGACATGGTCCTGGGCAACCTGCCTGCTCTCATTGACCCTAAGAGGGTTGGGCTAGATGATCTCAAGTGGTCCCTTCCAAACTAAATGATTCTGTGGTTATCTTAGGCATTACACAACAATATTAAGCATTATATAAAAGCAGATATTGCTGAAAACCTCTCATTGAATAGGTAAAATCATCAATTATAAATGTTTGCAGATAATGTAAGTGTAATCCAGAGATGACTCTTCTGTCCTGCACATCACAAAAGAAACAAACATACCTTTTTTACAACTCCTGTAGTGGCTGCAAATGTTTCTGCTCCTTCTACAGTCTTGTTTGCCACTGTGTTCACACTGGCTACTACAGCTTCTCCCACCATATTGGCCTGCTCTTTGGTCTTCTCAGCAACTGTGATTTCAACAAAAGCAGAAAGTCAATAAGCTAAGCACTGCCAAAAGGCTGCCAAATTCACCACAACTATAAAACAATAGCAGCAAGGTAAGAAAAGAAATTGGCCCTGGTACAGTCCTTATTCAGATTATTTTATATGAGATCATGTCTGAATTTAGACCATGTACGCAAGGGTTTTGTCTGACTCAAAACGCTGCTCGGAGAGCAGCACTGCAGCCTGTCAGTCTTTGTGGGCAAATGGACAGTGACAAATTCACTGTAAGATACTAAGGGACAATTGTGAAAATAAGGTATTTTGCACTGCAGATTGCATATGACATGTCTCTGGGGACCTTCTGCTCGATTCAGTACACTCGGGTAGAAAAAAGTAATCATGAAATTCTTGAGGGAAAGGTTCCCTTCATCTCTCTTCAAGGCAGTCCATATGGCTGCCCTGCCTTGGAGCTGGGGATACCTCGAAGGATCCCTCAGGGTCCCTGACTCCGTGACTGCCTGACGGGAGTCTCCCAAAGACTAGTTTTGGCCGGACAGGATCTGACTTAAGTAAATCCTCTCTGCATGCCGGGCAGCACTCCTGACATTGTGCAATGTCTAAATTGCTGTGAAACATCCGAGTCTGCCAAGTAACATTTGTTAGATTTTCTTTTGACCTGCTGTACTGATTAAACACTTTCTCCCATCCACGTGCACGGCAAATGCCAGGCCTGAACCCTCACTCCTGGCAAACACCCTCCATTCATCAAATGGAAGGTCACGCAGATCAGTGGCGTCCCCCAGAGACCTCCTGTTTGGCAGCAGCGGCAATGGTCTTATCAAGAGGTCCAGCAACACCTCACAGATTTCCACATCTCTCTCAGGGCTGTGCTCTTACCTGTGGTCACACTTTGCACTACACCTTCCTTGGTTTTGGTACCTGTGAAAGGAAACACACGGTCCGTCAGTGCTACGCGGCAAAGAAACCCTGGTTTCTGGACAAGGGAGGTTTTCTGCCCTTACGAGGTGCAGCGGGGAGCCGTGGTGCTGCTGGCACCTCCTGCTAAGACATGAGCCATTTGTAGAGCCGGCAGAAGGGACCAGCTTCCTTCCCCAGTAAAGCCAATGAGTACCTTTGTGTCAGGAGTTGGATAACTCCAACCACAAATTGTCTGGACATGCCTAGACCTGAAAAATCTTGATTATACCATGCTGAAGTACGAAAATTTGTCCCTGGAATATTCCCAACGTGAAAAGAACAGTCAAGCGGAGGTAAATCAATGTTAAGCTAATTGTAAAAATGAATGTATAGTAAGTCACCAGGTAAAATCTCACCTACTTCAGTCCTTCAAGACAGGGAGTCCCATCCGTGACTCTCCCCTGCCTTTCAGCAGGCTAAC